GGGTTTGGATGCTACTGCGCAGGCCTTCCCGTCTTCTTATACCCCTTCTTGTGCTTCTGCATCCTTATTGTCCCGCTCCAACTTTACTTATATCCCCCCCATTTTCAATCCCTCAATTCTTGGCCCTCCCCCAGCTTACTTCAATAGTCGCTTGTCTTCTAATTTCAAATCACACACAATCGCATGGCCTCGCACCAATCCAGTCGACAAGTCCATGTTCAAGCAAGCGGACAACGTCAGTTCATCCGTTTCCCTTTGGAGTCCTCGTGTCTCGCTAAGATTGGCATGCCTCAACGTGCGCACTTTGCTGCAGATTGGCCAACAGGCAGCACTTGCCCGCACATTAGAGACCCTATCGATCGATATTTGCTGTTTATCAGAAACCCGCCTGCAAGGTTCGAGCTCCGTGCTTACCCTGAGATCCCCCACATGCGACACTGGCGGCACATTCTCATTGCGCCTATCTGGCGATGATGCAGCTTCAAATGCCGGTCAAGCTGGCGTCGGCATTGTTTTGAGTCGCCGGGCTGAAGCTGCCTTGCTTGATTGGATCCCAGTAAACAGTAGAATGTGCGCCGTTAGATTAGCTGGTTCGTTCCGTGCTTCGAAGTCGCGCGGGGACAAACGGTGCCTGTTTGTCATTGCGGCCTACGCCCCTACAAACTGTAGCACTGATTCGGTAAAAGATGATTTCTATCAGCAACTTCACGAGCTCCTTCGTTACAGAAGGAGTACGGATACTGTGGTGCTGGCTGGCGATCTAAACGCCCAAGTCGGAAAGTTGTCCTCTGATGAGCTTCATCTGGGCGGCCAACATGGTGTAGGCTCCCGTAATGATAATGGTGAGCGATTGCTCCAGCTGTGTGAAGATGCTCGCCTGTTTCTCGCGAGCACTAACTTTCGACACAGCACCCGCAGAAGTGTGACTTGGCGGCCACCAGCCTCGGGCCAGTCATGGACGCAAATCGATCATATCGCGATCAGTTACCGCTGGAGAGGCTGTGTCCAAAACTGTCGCTCGATTTGGAGCACGAGCGTGGACTCTGACCACGCACTTGTATGTGCCGACCTCCTGATGCGTTTCGGTGGACGTCCGCAACGTCGATGTGAACGGATTGACACTAGCCAGCTTGCGAAGTCAGATGTTCTGAATGTGTACCAAGATGCGCTGACATCTGGGCTGAGTAAGCGCCCACTAAACACCGTTGAAGATCACTGGTCGCATACTCGTCAAGCGTTGCTGTTAGCAGGCATGTCTTCATGTGGCAAAACAAATTGCAAAACCGGACATTGGGTCTCTACACAGTCTCTCGAACTTATGGATGCTCGCCGACGTATTCCGGCTGGAAGCGTATACAATGAAGCACGCAAAAATCTCAGGGCGAAACTACGTGCTAGCCTAAAGAAGGACCGCGAAACCTGGTGGTCTCATCGTGCCTTTGAGATGGAAACTGCCGCTGCCATTGGTAATCATCGTGAGTTATACCGTCTGATACGGGCAACAGGCAGCAGAAGACCTGGTGTTAGCGAGACCATACGCGACGAGATTGGGCAGATGATCCAAAGCCTGTCAAAACGCTTGGAGCGTTGGACTGAACACTTTGCTATGCAATTTAACCAACCTGAGTTATCGTTTTCTTCTTCGGGCATTGAGCGCCCTTCTCCTTGGGCCGTCTCCTTGGATCCGCCCTCACGCGCAGAAGTCGAGTGTGAGATCAAGCTGTTGAAATTGCATAAGGCCGCAGGAGCAGATACGATTCCTCCAGCCCTCTTCAAATTCGGTGGACCTGCTCTAGTAGATGATCTACACGAGTTGCTAGTAAAACTTTGGGAGCAGGAGACAGTCCCGACAGACTGGAACCGCTCCGTCATTGTCCCAATTTTCAAGGGAGGCTCCCGTTTAGAATGTGGCAATCATAGAGGGATCAGTCTGATTTCGATTGCCTCTAAATTGCTTGCCTCTCTCATTCTCCACAGACTGAGTGGCACTCGTGAAAGCCAGATTCGTGAAGAGCAAGCCGGATTTCGTCGAGGTCGGGGCTGCATCGACCACATCTTCACATTGCGTCAAGTGTTGGAGCACCGCCATGTTTATTGGCGACCCACCGTTGTCGTGTTTCTTGACATAAAAGGTGCCTTCGACTCAGTCGATCGATGTGCCCTTTGGGACTGTCTGTTGAGGAAAGGTGTGCCTGATAAATATGTAAATATTATCAAAGCGCTGTACGCACATAGTTCGGGCAGGGTGAGGGTTTATGGCAAACTCTCGCCACCCTTCAGTATCACCAGCGGTGAGAGACAAGGATGCCCGCTGTCACCTTTCCTCTTCAACTTCGCTATTGATGAAGTCATGGAAACAGCGTTCGCTGGACACGACCTAGAAGGTGTGGAGCTACTCCCTGGTGAGCGACTTCTTGACTTGGAGTATGCAGACGATATTGCCCTAATCTGTGACAGCTCCCAAACATGCCAAACAGCACTAAACCGATTAGCACTGGCTGTCAATCGTTTTGGGCTATGCTTTGCTCCATCGAAATGCAAAGTACTTCTCCAAGATTGGCAGGGACCCAACCCTGCGCTAACGCTTGGTGGTGATCTGCTAGAAGTCGTTCAGGAATTCAAGTACCTGGGCAGCTATATTAGCACCCGTGGGATTGAAGATGAGGTTACGAACCGTATAGCAAAAGCTCGAGGTGCTTTTGCCAATCTCCGCCACCTGTGGCGCAGACGCGACATTACTCTCGCCCTGAAGGGCAGAGTTTACAACGCAGCCGTCCGTTCAACTCTCCTATATGGCTGTGAAACCTGGCCCATCAGGTCGACAGACATGAAGAGACTCGTCACATTCGATCATCGCTGCCTTCGCAGCTTAGCTCATGTCTGGTGGGAACACCGCGTGAGCAATGAGCGTGTTCGGCGTCGCGTATTTGGTACAGGAAGAGCGAGTGAACCGCTCAGCACGATTATATCACGCACCAGGCTCCGATGGCTGGGCCACGTGTTGCGCATGCCAGCACACCGACTCCCACGACGTGCTTTGTTTACGCGTTGTGGGTGCGGTTGGAAGAGGATGAGGGGAGGCCAAGTGATGACTTGGTCGAGAGAAATGAAAACCCTCACTTCGAAGTTGGCGTCGGTTGGTGCATCCCGACTGCCTGGTTGGGGTCCTAAGGACGGTGAACACGTTTGGTTGGACACACTTGCTGATATGGCTAGGAGCCGGCCCCAATGGCGTTTGTGTTGTGAGTTCCTTTGTCCATCCCCCTCCTGTTTAGCATCCCCCTCCAATCACGATCTCAATCGTTAGGCATAATATGACTTTCTTTTACGGCAGCCAGCTGTTAGCTCTCCGGAACGATGTCCATCCGTTACTGGGGACTCAGCGGGCGTGCCACTGTTTGTTGTTGTTGTTGTTTTGTTTTTTCTTCTTTTCTTGCCTTTTGTATTGCGGCACAATAGCTGAGGTGTTTTCCACCTCCAGCTAACGTGTAATGATGATGATGATGATGACGGAGTTCCTTCAGGTAATACTCAGAAATCTTTGTTACACAAGGAATAAGGTATACGAGGTGAGTCTACTTGTAAACACATCTCATCCCGACATACTTGAACTCACTAAAACGTGGTTGTCCCCTTAATTCATGGAGAGTAATGCATGTTTAACTGACTAGACGCTGCTTAGATCTGATCTCTCCGTTGGTCGTCAGAGTAAGGGGTGCCGCTCTTTATGTGAGCTGTAAACTGGTTATGCTGTAGACCTGTATCTTTCAGCCGCTAGGTCAAACTTTTGAAGCCATGTCAAGTGTTGTTTCCACTTCCTATGCCCATTTTGCAATTGAAGTAAAATAACAAAGTCCTGAAATACCTCAACGTAAATAAAGTGTGTTTATTCTTCCTCATGCTGCAAAACTGTGTATAGTACTGGGGAATTTCAGCCTTCCTGAGGTCTGTTGGGCTTAGCTATCATGCAGTTCGGCGATGCCTACCTTCGCTTTAGATCTTCTCAAGCTAACGATGTAAGCACCTTTGTATCAGTTCGTGGACTTTCCTATTAGATACATGAGCAACTATCTTTCGTCTATCTTGGATCTTGTTTTGTCGGTCACACGATTTCCTAAGGGTTAGTACCTGCAGCTGTTCCCTATGGTCCAGCAACAGTGTCAGTATATTCTTTCGACGTGTTCTTTCTATCATCCGGCTACCGCTGCTTTATGCCAAAATAGTTTGGGGAGGACTTTGACGCAGTGTGAGCTTAGGCTTCATTTTGCATCGTGTGATTTTGTGGCTGACATTGTTGAGTTATCTTGGGAGAAATTTAAGACAAATCTCACAGAGATTGCTCTCATATACCATTCATTAAGAAAAGGAAGACACGGACGCAGTCTCCATGGATGGATGACATAGATAAATACCTGCTTAGAAAGTGGTCGAAGTGATGGCAAACATACCAAGCGGCTTCAGTAACGAGCACCTACCAAAGTTATTAAGAAGTTAGAAATGAAGGTAAGCAACATCTCAGGACTGCTGGCCTTCAGTACGGGAGGGCTTAGCTGACATGGCCGCACCAACTCCGGTCATTGCCTACGTAAAGAGGCGCAGCGGTACAAACTCGTCTATACCAGCCTTACTACGCGCAGACGAGATCCGTGTGCACACCGAATACGAAAACGCTTGTATACTTAGCGACCCGTATATTGGTGTTGATATCTTGGAATATATTTGGAACCGATCGGGAAGTCATCATTTCAGAAGGCTTGGTAGACGACCGGTTAATATATTTCTTATAAGACATTTGGCTTTATTTGACACAAAAGCGAAGAAGAAACTTTTGAGTTAAAAGTGAAACCTTGTGTAGCATAGCAAATATATTAACCGGCTGTCTAGCAAGCGTGCAGAAATGAACAGCATATATGTGCCTTTGCTTGTGAGGCCTCTCTACCACAAGTTGAGCTAGTCACAAGCGTCCCGAAAGATTTCCACCTATCCAAAATTTGCAAAACGTAGAGTCAAATATCCGGGCTATTGCCTAGGCTAAATTTGTTCAAGTGTAGGGAAAACGACTCGGGGAGGAGGCGGACCGTGTATTGCTACAAGAACATGCCACTGAAAAATCATAAACCAGTACATATCTGGACCGTGTTGCTGTCCCACGACGCAACGCTGATGAGAATTTGTGTGACGGGCCATTCCAGGTGCCTACGAGACTGGGCTTCAAGATAACCCCACATTTTCCATCCCGTATCTCCAGTTTGCTACACCCGATTCTGGCCGGCCATTAGTCGGTCGAAAGCTCTCGATTTGCTCTTGTGTGGTTGCATCATTTGACCCGCGTTCACACCTGTGGGCTTCGCTAGTGGTGTGTTTGTCTGATTCATTGCCTTCTCGACAAATATCTCCATCATTGTTCTGGGCCCAGGCCTTTTACCAGCTGCCGCCCTTGATGCGCTAGCGGCTCGATCCGCAACGCACACAGAGCCTTGTCTTGTCTCAGCCATTGGGCCCGTTGTTACTTCTACACAATCCCGTTTCTGTTTTCGTTCCGCATCATGAGTAGTCATTGGCTTCCGCCGTTATACACGGGGCTTCTAGCCCTGACTCAATTCATCCGAAGCTCATGCATTACTTGACCACTGAACTAGGTGGCTCTTACATGCATGTTTACCATATCCCTTGGCAGCTGTGCCTTACCTTTGGTATGATAGGCAATCATCTGTTTAGGTTTCAAGGGAGTAGACAATTTGTGCCCACGAATTACCAACTGGTTAACTTGACAAGCGTAGTAAGCAAGCATTTTGAAAAACTGTGGAATAATTCGGTGAAGAGCCACCTAAATCAATTCAAACTTAATGATGCTCAACCCGGTTTCTCTATGGAATTTTTGCTCTACCAATTCTACTTCTAGACCGTGAAAGCTGGGATTAGGCAACAGACAGCGGCCACGCTGTTGACGTGTTTTGCCTCGATTTATTGAAAGGCTTTGATACTGTAACACATCTACGATTCTAGCTGTGGTTGTGGTCTTATTGGCTAGTTGGTGGTGCACTTAAGTATTTAGCTACTGTCCTAGAGGGGAGAGAATAGTGTGTACGTGGGTGTCTCACTTTTTTGCCTAGGTAAGCTGTTCTTAGTGGCGTTCCGAAGTGCTTAGTATTAAGGCTGTTGCTTTCCGCAATTTATATCAATGACCTACATCAAAAGCTCGAGCTACTATTACTAATGTTTGCTGATGACCTCAAGTGCTGGAATATCGTAGCCATTCCTAGAGGCTCTGTGGCAATTTAGAGTGCCTTAGATATGCTCTGGGATTGGTTGACCTTATGGTTAATGCTTGTACATCGGACGAAATATTCTGTCCCCCTGTTGGAGACACTAGTTACCCCATGTGCTAAGTTATTTGAAGTGAAATCTCTGTTGTCACTGAGCAGGTGAATTTAGGCGTCGTTCACACATCAATGCTTTGCTCTGAGGACGTTTGGAGGCAGGCTGCTTGTAGCGGTTTCATTACCATGTGGTTTATTCACCGTTCCTTCGGTGTTTTAACGCCCTATATTTTGTGAGGCTTTTCTCAACATTCGTGTGACCCTATTTGGAGTACTGCATTCAGGCTCGACCACCATGTCTTGTAGGGCATACAACATATAACGCGTGGATCGTGCGCTATATATCAGATTTGCGACTAAACGAACAACCGAGTGCGCACGACTGTACACACGAAAATAAGCTAAGGAAAAGGTTTCCTGAACTGAAGAGGATCTAGCTTATATCAAAAATTGAGAATAAGAGATCAACTGGCTAGGGAAAAGGTAGCTGAGCGACGAGTGCGTGGTCGGGAGTCCTCACGATCCGAGTCGCTTGCTTTAAAAACGGATGGCGTATTTTTTGTTTCAAACAAACGTGAACTAAAGTTCGACAGACAAACTGTCTAGTGCTCTAGCACATAAGCAAACCATAATTTTGCTATATTAGGAATCATTTGCACAATCATACGGGAAAATTCCCGTCACTACAAATAAATTAGAGCAAGTTTGCTTGCAGTTATAAACTTATTGCTGCTTTCACGACGGCAAACGTATCCTGAGCGTTTGCTTAGCTATGGGATATACTCAACGCACTACCAGGAGGCTTGATCCTTACCTACCTTGTCCTAACTGGTAAGATCGGTCCAGACTTGTCCTAGCTATATAGTCACGCCAAGTTGCCTAGTCACCGAGGACAGCCGAGAAAGCTACACAAACTGCCTTCTGACCGATTGAAGACAGAAACTCGCTTATCGCACCAAGTTCTTTGACGTTGGAACGCTTCCGGATCACTTCTTTAAGGCATCTACGGTTGAGGGTTTCGAGCACAAGTTAGCTGCGCTTGGGTGGTAATTCAAAATTTTACTCTTCTGCTAACCGACTAGTATCTTCAGTGTGCTCCTTTTTAATTCTTCTCGTAGCTTGATGTTATAACTATTTAGATGACATACCTTTTTTCCTAGCTTTTCATTCACGCTATATTACTTCAAATAATCCGACCAAGTAAGGGCTGCTGAGCAAGTGGGGCAGTAATTGGTTGGCCAGGAAGGGATACGGCCCTTGTTTTAGGGTTTTTAACATCTTATATCAACCTATCAAGTCCCGGTTCAGGAATACACATTGGAAAGCAGATTCGCGGGATTAACCAATGCAATGCGGTTTGTAGTGACAATGACATTTTACTTCACCAAGCCTCACCATCCAGACTTGTACACATTTTGTTTTACTTTGCACTCCTCCAAAGCCTATATATACCGGATCGCATTTGTGATCTTGGTCCGCCATCTTGCCCGCGTGTTGCAGGCTGTTGCGCTACAATGTGGTGTAACTACTTGCTTCACCACTTTCTCCCCCTGTCCTCAGGCTATATTTACATAGCTATTGTACATAGCTATTTTCTCAAGACAATCTTCATATTCTGCCGTCTTCTGTCTTACTGGGCTACGGATTTATTGTGTAGCATTCGTCAAGGCGCTACAGGTTCCAACTGGACTTGAACTTGTACACCATGTATCTTCTTTTGCGAGTATCGTCAAAAGTTACCTATTAGCTTGTACAATGCGGAAGACTGGGTTTCTGGCAAAAAGTTTCGTGGAGTATACCCGTCTACATCATATATTTACTTGTGTACACACTAAAAATCACAAGTGATATGCTCACCACTAAAGCAACTGTAACGATGACAATCAGCAAATTCAGAATGCAACTTCCCAATTGTCCTTTCCTCATCCACTAGATTGTCTGCTAAGTTGTACTGGTAACGTTATTCGGCGGTCAGTTGCGCGGTAGCAACATAAATGGTTTGAAATCATGCGTCCTCATTGCAAAGTAAAACAACGCTTGGTTTTGAACGCAAAGGTTTGCTTTTTAACATATTCAGAGGGTAGGTGTGATTTTAGTTTAAGCTTTCGGGCTGTATAGAATTTTCCTTACGCGTCATTGACGTACAATTTACAGTGTGCCATGTCATGTTGCGTGTAGCATACGAGTTTCTGCGTCCATTTTTCTGTACCGGTAAGCGAAACACAACTGATTAAAATCCACGACTTTTGCAAAGGATCAAAGCAGCAATCAACACATTCTCTGTACTGTCATGAAGTACACTGTTATGGCGACATGGTGAAATAATATACAATAATTCTGGTAAAATTTCCGAGCAACAACCATTTAGGTCTCTTTTAAAAGTCTCTGCGGTGCTGTGGTTTATTAGTGCTGGAGGTAGCTTCTTCCATCTATTAACTATACGGTGCCCAATGAATATCGCCGTGATGTTCAGCCCAGGTCTCCGATGCTCGAGCTGCAATTGTTGTCCTCCCAAGTGACCTGACTCGGCTAGCTCAAACAGTTTAGTATAGTGGATAGCACTAAAACCGTACATGATTGTAACGGCTGTGGTGCACCGGAAAACATGCTCTTTCAGTATTTTGTAACGTTGGATTTCATGGTTGTTTTAACCTTTGAAACGTCCACTTGTTTTACTGACTGCACATCCGTGGTTACAAACCGTTTTGGTGAGTTCCTCGCTGCACGTTTCTCGCTCCGTCTGATTCGCTTCTTATTCTTGTAGCCCGTACAATATACGTTGGGTTCAGTCTCCTCCGACTTCTATGCTGTCGTATTTGACAGGTCTTACGTGACATTGCTTACCGACTAGTATCCCAGGCTCCGCCCAACAATTGGTGACCCCCTATCAGGAACACGCCGCCCGCCATTTTGCATTTTCATTCTGGTGAGCTCGTTCCAGTGACCCTGGTAGAACATGTACAGGTCCTGCACAGTTTAGCGTCCTAAACGTTCCTATGAGAGCATTAGGCTAAATTGGACAGGAAGTATTTCCGTGAGGCGGCTAAAAAGGGTTCCTGTCCAGTTTAGGTTGGACCAATGCAGATAATGCTAACGTTGACCAATAGAAATTTACCACTATGCGTGACAATCCGGTTGGTCCAGATCCCGTCATTGCCTCCCATGGGTATCCGAATACGGACACCACAATTGAACGCACTGTGCGCCTAACGAATATCTGGACGGCTCGGACCTAGTGTTCACTTGGCACCTGTTGCGGTGGTTTCTGGACTTGGGAACCCACCTAGGCGGCAACTCAAAGCTGTTGCTCAGAAAAGGAAACCGCTCTTACCGCGCACCTGACATCACAAGGCGAAAGAAAATTAAGACCGCGGTATAGGAATGCTATATATACATGAAGGGGTGCAGTACAAAGAATGTTCGTAGCTGAAAGCGGCATAGCCAATATTCTTAATCCGCTTCCGCGAGTGTCAACGTAGGAGGCTAAAGATGTGCCTAAGGAAGCAGGGGACTCACCTCATTCGCACTGCATACTTTAGTTTGCTCAACCGGCGGTCTTTTGTGCCGTGCAGAATGCAACCACGTTTTGATGTGCCGTGTAATGTCAGCATCCGAGGCTGCATCACCCATGCGTTGCCGAATGATGCCTTGGTAGTTTTTATAGATTACTGCATTTCAACCTACCTTGTACAAGGCCGTTCATATTTGTTCGCCTGAATGCAAACGAACCTCTAGCGCCGGAGTAATTTATCTCCGCGGCAACTGATCTTGTCATTAGCCGCTCCATGGTACCCCGGACGATGAGTTGCACGTTATCACCGTGCACAGCACATAAATGGTTGACCTAAAGTAGTTGAATAATAAGACGAACTTACGACTCTGATTTTGAAATCGGGGTCCTTCAGCCGTTCATCATATCTCTTTAGCTCACTGAGAGAGATGAATGGCAGAGATAGTCCCGGCGCAACACTTTGGGATTGTCGTTGTAGCATTTGCAACATCGCTTCGGACATGCGGCGATGGCCGACCAATTCTGATCGAATGAGACACAACTCATCTAAAAATAAGGCTGAGTGCAATGCAATACATCTGTGGCGTCTTACATTTTATGGCCTGCAGTTCCTGCAGCACATCCAGATTGCATGGTGGGACGTCAGCAATAACCGGGGGCGCGATTACTGTTTAATAGGGGCAGTATGAAATCGATACTTACGGTTGCTTGTTGATGGCCCTGGACG